TCAATATTTCAACGGCTAGATCAGCTATGATTCTACCGACTGTTGCTAGATTTATCTGGTACAACTTTTTATATTAGTTGGCAACGCACAAACTAAAAATACGCAAGTGTGTGTGTGCGCGGGAAAAGCACAACAACAGTAGATTATCATACGATACTTGAGCACCAATAAAACGAATCCACATAGCCCGCTACAAAATGGAACACATACACAAGCACACGTACACTCTGAATGTGTGTTTGGGTTCTTTAAAGCAGAACAACGACAACAAGAACCAGCAAGCATGCTGATCGCCAGCAAAGAGTGGACATTAACACACTTTTATTTTCGCTCTTCATTATGTGACACGCATACACGCATGTAGAAACACGCATGTACACGTACACGTATTCATTTGTGTGTATACAATCAAAGGGTCGTCGTGCACGATTACTTCTTAATCAGCTGTTTGTCTGGGTTTTGTTGTTGCTGTCTGCCTAAACATACACACACATACACCCAAAGTTGCACACATACATATATTTAATTCTTTAATGTGTAGTGTGGGCAAAAAGTTTGCTTAGCTCGTAAGACCCACAACTGCATAAGTCAGCACGGTTGCATTTGTGCCGTTAGTCGCTGTTGTTCATTTTATATATTTTGGGGTGGCAAATGGCGCAGAGACGTCGAAGCCAATATGCCAATACTAAAATGAACAACAACAACAGGAGCGAAGTCAGGGCAACGGCGACAAAGAATAAATGCGTCACAGAAACAAAGCACTAAACAAAAATCAATTGCATTCGCTGCAATTATTTGCCATGATAACAACAAAGACATCGACAGCAATAATTATAATATAGCGTTATGCATCAGTTTTATTGCACTTTTTTTATGAGTTGCACTTGACAACAGCAGCAATAACAACCATTCCAAACACTAATAACACAGGAAAAAAAGTCTATTAAGCACTTCTTCACTGCGGCCGCTGCGGCGCCTGTTTTGTAATAAGCCGTCGCTTTGTAAACTGGCAAAACATCGTTATAAGTTCCACATATTTACCTGATTTCTGTGTAAAAGTTCGAATTGTGGGTACGGAACCGAATGTTACTTGGTCAGTGACTTATTTGAAGTGGAGTACTGTATTTGTCTGACATTACAACAATAACTTAATTTTGAATAAATGTGCAAAGCCTACCTACGCCTGCATAAAAAAACACACGTCTAAACTTCGGTTAAACAACAGACTCTGTTAATGTTGTACTCAGAATGGTTATGTTATTGCCAAAAACATCTGCTAAAGCGCTGCTGTTAGCTAAAATAACATTTCAGCTAAAAATTAAAAAAACAGGGCTGGAAAGTCAAATCGGCACAGGGCTGCACAGTGCTATCCCTGGACTTCAGTCAAATCAAATTTAATCGAATAAAGCACTTGAGCAGAAATATAGAAAGCAAGATTCAAGTACGCAGTATATGTGACCTTAATGGTCATTGTTCTTTCCCCTCACATGCCTGGCCGATAAAGACAAAACAACAGCTGATGAAACTGTCAAGGCCATAACGTGTTCAATAACAATTAGCCAGGATCTCTAGTTTTTTTAATATATTTTTATTTATTTAATTAATAGTAGATTAATTAATGTACGCTTAACCAAGAGAGTCCTATTCGTAACCATACACACTAAATATGCACAAAATTTTGTTGTATTA